CGCACCGTACGTAGCCAACCGTGCTAATCGGAGCTGCGGGGGGAGGACAACAAGCTAAACACAAACAGCTGTTCTAACGGAATGAGTTTACAATCTATATTTTAAAGTTCACGGCTCCATTGGCTTCCTAATATCGGAAGGGAGAGGGTTCCAGTACGGCCGCAGAAGCGCATCTGAAAGCGCGTGATGCTGTGGCCGTTTTTGTTCGACGGTTAGCCAGAAGCCGCTGCGAGGATGACCGGAGTTCGGGTGATGGTTTATTCTCCTTGACGAGATCAGCGACGTATTGTGGTTCATTTGCGGCAAGAAATACAAAAGAAAAAAATCCCCCGTATAGCCTTCACATACTATTGTGGCAAGTGCTGTTAGCGAGCACCTATGAAGGCCGGCACGACACACGAGGGGGTGGGTGGCCAGCGCCACACCCGGCCGCCTTTGTCTCCCCAGTGGCAATGTTTACACACCGTACCAGGTACTCATTTGAGGCCGAGTCGACCTAGGGGAGGCCCAGGACCGGTTAGGATAATCGTCACCGGTGTTGGCCGTGAGCGGCAATCGAACTCGGGTCGCCAGGTTCGTAGCAAGAAATGCATTCGTACTCATACATCGAGTTACATCGAGTGAGAGGCTATGCTTCATCAGTGCCGTTGACAAAGTGTGTGTGTGTGTGTGTTTTAGTCTGCACAGTGTTGTACTTTGTGTGCACCCGAAACAGCTGCCGGGTCTGCATTTATGTGGCCAGCGCCGCTTTGTTCAACGTGCCCCTCTGACGTTAAGTAAACGTCCGCTCCTGCTTAATCAATCGATGTGTGGTCCCCTTTATTTAATCAGGTGAGAACCCATCGAAATTTGACACACTCTGCATCTTCCACTCGGAGAGAAAAGAAACCGCGATGACGTTTGACAGAATTGAATGCATCCCGATGCGTTGACCTGTCATCGTCGTTGTCATCATCGGCCATGATCAGTCTACTGCTGGATGAAGGCCTTCTCAAGTCGCACCTATCCCTCACGGTTCGGCGATGCAACAATCCACACGAGCCGATCTCAGCTTCATATCCACGGCGGACGTCACCTTAGACCGGTTTATTCCTTTGACTGTCGCTCAGTATTTATTTTCGCCATTATCCCTTCCAGCCGTGACATGTCCTGCCCAAGCCCAATTACTTATCTTACCAGTCAAAATAATGTCTTTGGCCTTCGAATGTTCTCTAATCCACGTGTCCTTCTTTCTGTCTCTGAGTGCAATCCCAAGAATGCATCTCTCCTTGCTTCTGTTGACCTGTACATAGAAAAATGTACGTTAACGTTTGTGCATAATGATTTTCTAACAACAAAAGTGAACACTAACACCTTTGCTTTTGTTGGTATCCTGGAGTTTAGCGGACGTTATTTAAATTTAAGCATACATATTATGTATATGTATTCATGCTCAAGAATACAAGATGTGTACGTCACGATTAGTCGAGCGGCAAGTCGCGTGAGGTGGGGAGAAGTGTGGGTACTCGCGCGCCTTCCCAAGATTTCCGACCAGTGTGGAAGAGTAGGCCAAAATCATCTCGAGAAGGGAGGGCTCCTCGCGCACTCCCCATGACAACAGCACCTTACAGCCGCAGTGGTGTGAGCAAACAATTGCAGGGCTGCACCTTCACCGTTTTACATTTCATCTACATTCATGCCAGAGCTTGACAGCCTTTAAATTCAAAACACATATCCGCTCCGTTGTACCGTAAATGTGAGGCCGATATTAATCAGAGCCCACGGTGAAGTTATTATAATGGGCTCTAAACGGGGTCGTCGTTGGGTCAGACATGCCACCACGTGGCTTTGTGAGTGTAAATTAGGCCGTGAACGGTGAGGCCACACAGGTGGGTGTTTACCCGCGTTGTGGTTTTTAAATACGGCAAGTCCTCGACTACCGAGTGGTGTTCGTGCAACGAATCTTTCCTGTAACGCGGTTCTTCCGTGAGGAAGCGCGGAATGCTCACAAGTTACAACGTGGAATGCGCCGGCTCGTCATAGTTTCTGAGCGGTCAACGACAAACTACTTTCTTGAGCTGCACGGCTGAGTAGTATGATACAGGACGTATGTATGTATGTTGAACTGCTTTCCTACCATACATAGGCGACTACGCTGGAGGTGCGGAATGATATGGCAATGCAGCGGCGTTATTTGTCCGACCGTCTCACCGTGTGTGCGTGCGTCGTATCTCGCAGAGTTTTACCTTTATGTTATTTATGGAGAAATTCATCTTCTTGGTTCTTTCGGTAAAGTCACATAGAAGGGAAATAATAAAATAATAAAAATAAAACATAATAAAAGAATATAATAAAATAAGAATATTATAATATATAATTATTTTTATTATTTTATTATTTACCTTCTACGTGACTTTACCGAAAGAACCAAGAAGATGAATCCCTGCAGTCACGAAAGCTTTAAATCGAAATTTATGGAGAAATTGTTTTGCTTAGGGCGTTTTTCGCTCAACGCGACACTGTTCAGGAACGCATCTACCGCATTAAACGAGGAATTACTGTGCCCACGAGGATGCAAAGAAAGTTTGCGCGGGAGGAGCTGGCCTGTTACGCAGCTGTAACCGAGGGTTCCCAGGTCTCTGTTACATTGGGAAAATGAACGCAGAGAGTTGTAGACGCAACTAAAACATAAAGGAAAGCCACTGACTGGGTAATATTGCTCCAAGGTAAATACAGTTTGCGCGTTCTGCTGTGAGTCAGTTTGGCCTTCGCAGCGCTTTCACTCCTGGTACCGGGTCACTCAAGGGTTCTTTGTCACCAGAAATCACCAGAGGTCTACGGAATTGATGATGAGCTATGTGCAATTCAAATGACCTTTGGCTTAGGTCAAAAACATCAAAATATAACATTTGTCACCAAGCTAATTTTGCGGGGTGTTTTTTTGTTATATAAATGTTTAAACTCTCCTGCCATTCCTCTTCATGTTTGAGTTGACAGCTGAGGGAGTAGTGTTTGTGAAATGAAGAAAAATACGAGCAACATGAGGGGCTGGGGGGAGGGGGTGAGGTGGGGGGGGGGGGGGGAAAGCTGACTTAAACTGTAAAATTTCACAACCATTGTATTCGATTTACGACAATAATTGACGATCCTGTGTCTTGTTACAGATTTTACCACTTGGGTGCTGTTACACTGGTGAATGATGTATGACATGCGAGACAATTACATAAGAAATATAGAAGCCACAAGTATTTTATTTATGAGTGTAACTGCAGCTATTTATATATGAAATTGATTTTTTTTTTATTCTACTCATTCATATCGTAATGTAAAGTTCAGCTCACTCTCTGGGGAATCTAACATTGTTCAATTCCATATGTCTTTACATTAATTGTTTCGTAAACCCCTCTGGTGAGTCCTCATATTTTCACAAATTGCAGGCATGTTTCAAAAAAATATCCGGCGTAATTTTACGCGACATTCTTTGCGACATTCTACTTATCCTGTGTCATTTTGTTACCCGTATCAACAGTCGCAAAACGTGGATAGACCAATCGCGGAGTTAGATAACCTGGAGGTACCCGGGACATCGTGCACGCTCCGTAGAATGCACACACAGCGAATCGATGCCCTTTCAATCAGGCGAGATCCAATTGAGATGCATTATCTCTTCTGCTGGACAAACTTTGCAATCGCGGTTGTGTTTTTTTTTATATTGTCCGCGATTAGGGCCAAGATTTATACCAAATGATATCAGGTAATACATTTTGTTGATCACCAACTAGTTCACAGCCGATCGCGTTCTGAGTTAATCACAATGTCTCCCACAATGGCTGTGGCGGGAATTGAACTAATGGCTCCCCGCACACTGGCTTGGCGGTTGGCTCGTTGGGGCGAGAATCAGAATCAGAATGTGTATTGATACTGGAGGAATCCGATGAGCTATGAAGCTCTTTCTTCACAGATGTCCAGCAGGATCGGACGGGGCTCATGTGTGCAGCGGCATACCCAGCTGATCGATTTGTAGCATTCAAAATGTGCTTCTACCAAAGCGAACGCTAAATCGGAATGTCACTGGTTTTGGAAAACAATGACAGTAATTTTCGATTGAAAGCTTTCGTGACTGCAGGGATTCATCTTCTTGGTTCTTTCGGTAAAGTCACGTAGAATGGAAATAATAAAATAATAACAATTTTACTATAAAATTCTCACGACGTTTCGATTGCAACATAAACAATCATCATCAGGTGTGCTGTGGTTTTCACACCTGATGATGATTGCTTGTGTTGCAATCGAAACGGCGTCAGAATTTTTTTTTTCCTCTTCTACGTGACTTTACCGAAAGAACCAAAAATATGAATGACAGTAATTGTACATATTCTGGATTTGTATAACATTAAAACTATCTTAAATGACATCTACGTTCAATCACTATACATTTACACGTTTACAATGATGCAAAATCTCAAACGTAGTCTGACAAACAACTGCCACCTAATTGCCCTTGTGCCTTTCCCTGGGTGCGCCTCTGTGTGTATGATGTGTGTGTATTTGTGCGTGTGTGTGTGTATATATTTGTATGTGGGTGTGCGTATGGGTAGTGTAGCGGGTAGCGCACTACGCTACGAACCCAGCAACCCGAGTTCGGTTCCCGCTCATGGGCAACACCAGTGACGATTATCTGAACCTGTCCCGGGCCCCGCCTAGTTCGACTCAGCCTCAAATGAGTACCTGGTGCGGTGAGTAATCATCGCCACCGGGGAGACAAAGGCAGTCGGGTGTGGTGCTGGCCACCCACTCCCTAGTGCACCGTGCCGGCCTTCATAAGTGTTCGCTAACAGCACTTGCCCCAACAGTCTATTAAAAGTGATACAGGAGATCTTTGTCTTTGTGTGTACAGGTGGTTCTCTGCTATTGCGCTGCATACCAATCCATGCGCCTGGCTGTGTTGCCGTGGGCTCGGAGTCTCGCAGGGTCAGATGAAGGCCGCTCACCGCCGTGCGCTCGTGTTTTGTTGTTCACAGCGACCTCAATGGGAATAACATCACGCGCATCAGCAAGGCGGACTTCGGAGGGCTGCGCCAACTACGCGTTCTGTAAGAGCCCTCTCGCCCACCTACCGCTCGCGATACGAGATCGACCCCCCATTGTCGAATCCCACCCCCCCGATTGCAATTACCACCACCGAAGATTTTCATTTCCAACGGAAATATATTCTCCGGGTCACCGGCTAGAATGCTGTGTAGTAGGCACACGCGAATGTGAGCCGTAGCCATAGCAAGAAAGGTATACTGAATGTGGTGTGCAGGGCTTGAGAATATTTTCCAGGTCGATGGAGCGGGCACACGACTAATAGGCATGCAGACGGTAGTGACAGTCAAAGTGAGTAGGATAATGGACGTGGTTTGCCGGGTGTGTAAATGTTTTTCTGATCTCCGACCTAGACAAACAATATATATTTTTTAATCCTAATAATCTTCATATGTTTTGCCTTATACGTGTTTTTGTTGTATTCTGGGGGCCGCTGTCCTTCCGCCAGCGTTGCGCCAGATAGTGGAGAGTTGACCGCAGTTGTTTGCTGACTGTGAACCTGGCTATGGTAGTTCTCTAGCGTTGTGATGATAGTTTAAAATTGACCGCGGTCATTTATGAACCGTGAACCTCACGATGGCAGTTCTCTCTTCCACCGACCTGTCGTCTTCGCGCGGCTGATCCTTGTGGGTTTTTTTTCTCACCCGCCTGCTCGTTCACAGGCAACTGATGGAAAATCACATCGTCGCGATTGAACGCGGCGCCTTCCAGGACCTGAAGGAGCTCGAGCGACTGTGAGTACATCGCCCGAGAAAAAAATATTTCCGTGCCTGGCACACAACATCCAATGTACCTCTCGCTATGACTGTGACTACTAGCTACGAGCCACGTGACACCTGCTAGCGATCTTGAAAATATTCAGTGAACAATTAGGCCCCTGAAAGTTGTACTTGTTTTCCCTGATTATCATTAATATTATTAATTCGTGAAGGTAAATAATTCCCAGGCTAATGATTATAATTATTTGTTCCTACCAGCATGCATTCATTGCCCCCTACATGCAAGTCTGTTATTCATCCCTCTCTTATCTAACTTGTATATATATCTCTTGAAAAGGAATTTGGTTTAAGGTTAGTAACTGATATTCTTGGTTCTTTCGCTAAAGTCACGTAGAAGGGAAATAATGATGATGATTGCTTGTGTTGCAGTCTAAACGTCGTGAGAATTTTTATTGTTTTATATTCATATTATTTTATTATTTCCCTTCTACGTGACTTTACCGAAATAACCAAGATTATGAATCCCTGCAGTCACGAAAGCTTTAAATCAAGAGTTAGTAACTGAGTTAAGTTTGGACTAACTTCGGACCAAAGTCATTGTATGAAAACTTTAATTATGCTGCATTTATGTTGAACTAATTTCACACCGTACGTAGCAAACTGTGCAACATACAGTTCATGAAGAAGTTGGGCAACCAGTCTTCAAATAAATCATTTAGTGGAAAATGCACGGATATACGGTAATGCAAGGAAAGATTAGTCCATTTCAAAAATAAGAGGGAACACAAATATTTCTGAAAGGGGACCAATATTCGTGAATGTCAGTTCTGAGCGGGAATGCACATTCGTTCTCTCTGGAGCAATTATTCGGGTCTTCAAATAAATCATTTAGTGGAAAATGCACGGATATACGGTAATGCAAGGAAAGATTAGTCCATTTCAAAAATAAGAGGGAGCACAAATATTTCTGAAAGGGGACCAATATTCGTGAATGTCAGTTCTGAGCGGGAATGCACATTCGTTCTCTCTGGAGCAATTATTCGGGGAGAGGGGGGGGAAAGGGGGGCGGGGAACACACATAATCCCTGACACCTTCACGACAGCACGTGTGTTCTATTACTAGTGGCACACATGCTAAATGTACTTGTTATGCAAGTGTAGAAACACGCACACGACAATTGTCAGCACAGCAAGGGGTGTCCGCCGTTCTTTGTGCCGGTGCTCAACCCGAACTCCTGGAGTGGTCACGCGCGCGGAGCTCACTTTACAGGGCGGCTTTGCGTCGGCCCCGGCTCTTGGGCCGTCCCAACCCAATTTCAATTACCGGTGGTGCGGTGAGACCCACGGTCTGCGCCGACCGTCAGGGATGCAGGGACTAGACTGGCGTAGTTTCTTAATTGCAGCCACTCACGAAGCAGCATTTTCGTACGTGGGATATCTTTGGCAGATATTAAACTCCGTTGTGAGAATGTCGGGGTGTCATTTCTTTTTATGGATAATTTTTTTGTCCGCCAATTATGCGACACGCATTTGTTAGTTGAAGCTACTGGCTGGCTGGATGGCCCCTGCTAATGAAAGTCGACAAGCTCCGCTCTGTACACGCTGGAGTCCCGATTGACATTTGAATGAAATGGCTAAAAACCAATCGGTTAGGTGATTTGCAACATTGTTTGGCTTTGGAGAGACGATTTCAGAAAAATATATCTGATGAATTTGAATTTTCATCACTGTGACAACTTAGCCCTGAATCAACCCTTAGATGCTTCGTGCTACAAGAAGCAGTGCGCATGATAATTCCTGCAGTCACGAAAGCTTTAAGTCATGATAATTGGGTCTCGAGAGAAAAGTGCGGGTGCTGCCTTCTAATCTAATATTTCGATTTAAAGCTTTTGTGACTGGAGGGAATTCATCTTCTTGGTTCTTTCGGTAAAGTCACGTAGAATGGAAATAATAAAATAATAAAAATAAATCATAATTAAATAATTCTCACGACGTTTCGGCCACAACGCAAGCAGCCGTCCTCAGGTGAAGAACAGGTCTGTCAGAAAGACAACGTCTGAATGACAGACCTGTTCTTGAAATGTTTTATTTTTATTATTTAATTATTTCCATTCTACTTGACTTTACCGAAAGAACCAAGAAGACTAATCTAATATGTTACGCTAGCATGGAAGAGTAGGCCAAAAACACCCCCCAAATAGAGGCTGTATAGCTCCCTCTGGTGGAGGCATTTTCGTGAGCAGTGGTGTGAGCCAGTAGTGGCAGGGCTACACCTTTACCTACATCGAAGGTAGGGCGCGGGAGTGGTGGTGCAATGGTTCTCGCACTATGTTGTTAACTCGAGCGACCTGAATTCGTTTCCCAGCCGCGGCTAACATCAGTAGGTGGGTGACATCTAAACCAATCCTGGGTGTCTGTACCCCCTCCCCCACCTGCCTCGCAAACCCACTCTGACCGGCATGGTGAAGTATGGTCCAACAACTCCCATTACCGACACAGCACGGTGTGAGAACTTCATCCAGCTGGAAGTTATCTATTCTTTTTATTTTCTACACAGAGGGCTTAGATTGGAGCGGTGTCCGTGACGGTGTGTCGTCGAGCCCCTATTACCCTCTGAGCTGTCGTAAACGGACTCTGCTGGGGGCTCCGCTTGGGCTGTGCGCTTTGCCGCACGACGAGCGGTGAGCAGAGCGGCGGTGGTGGCCGCGTAGTCACAAAGCTGTGCCGCGCAGGCTGTCATTAACCCTGAGCCGCAATTTCCTCCGTTATAATTTAGCCTTTGCAATTAAGCCGCTCTTGTGCCCTCTATGATACGCGTAAATTTTTTTTTTATTGTGGTTAGTCATGCTAGTTTGCGATTGGGCAAGAAGAACATTTTTACCTGATTTTTATAATTTATTTATTCCGTCCCTTAATTTAATCCCGATTGTTTTTCTACGGTGGATGTATACATTTGTCTCGGAGATGCCAGTGGAATCGCTGAAGGCAATGTTTCTCAACGCCAGTCCTCACAGACAAACCTTACACCACAATCCACCTTCTTAGCTTCACCAATATTGCCTACCCACATGTAATTTAGCGTGGGTGGGTCACGATTGAACCGACTGCCGTTGAGAAACGCTGGCTCAGAAGTTCCGCGGGCTGCTCTCGCACCGAGGTCCTGTATTCACCTCCTCCATTCCCTGTGGCCCAAACGGCCATTAAATACACAGGGCACCATGCCCACGGGGCCGCGTCGCAGCTCAGCGGCAATATCCTGGGGTCAAGCTGCGCAAAGACCCAAAACAATGGCAAGACGGATTTGCCGTTGACACTGCTTGAGGTGGCCTGTGAGGAGAGTAATTATGCCGCACGGTTGCCCAAATCTACGTCACGTGACCAAGATGTGACCCGGAATTAAATAATTATCCGAACAATTATGGGGAAGGAAATATCTCACCAAGATGATGATGATGATCATCATGCTTCTCAAAACGTTCATCTCCGGACGTTTTGACAGCCAATCGTGATACATTTTAATCCCTCTTCGTGCAGAGGGGCTTAGCCCGTGCAGCAGTCAGAGTGGCAACCGAGCGATATTTCTTTGCTGCAGGACAGGCGGATGCTTTGTTGGGGACCTCCTGAGCAGTTTACCCGAGGAAACTAGCACGTGGGCCGGCAGGATTTAAGCATCTTTCATGAGTTTGCCGTTGAAACATCTGGAGATGCAATTACTGTGGTTGGAGAAGCGTCATCGGCATCTTTGTGAGACCCATTATTGTTGAGACTCGAAGACGCAGCCCTGTCTGACATTCTGCAGCTGTCCACAAGTGTATATGATTCACATTAATTGTAAGCATAAATGTTGACTTGAAGCTTTCGTGACTGCAGGAATTCATATTCTTTGGGTCTTTCGGCAAAGATACGGAGATAGAACAATAAAATAATAAAAATTAAAATAAAGTGAATAAAAATATAAGAATTTCACTTCAATTTTATTCTTTCATTGTTCTATCGACATGACTTTACCGGAAAGACCCAAATAATATGTAAGCATATATGTTATTAGGTTATCATGTTCACATGAAAGTCACTGGTAAATAGATGTAAAAAATTGTATCCTTTCCAAACACTCAAGCTTAGAAGTACCGTATTGGCAGCATTAACATTGTCCATTCACATATGATACAATCCAATTGCGATTCATATAGCGTCTCAATGGAGCTATATCTTAAGACACTATTTGGAGAAGTGGGGCATGCGCATGACCACAGAGATGAGAGGGTGGTGCGTTATTGAAGCAAGTCGCGATTGGGAATCACACCGCACACACGGCTACGTAAGGCAACAAAGCCGCAGTGGCTTATAAATATCCACAAATCACGGAGCACTGAAACAAACGAATCTCCATTGAAAACTCGTTTCTTTAGAATTGCTTTTCGTTTTTTTGTTTGTTGTCCTTCCCCCGCACCTCCGATTATGTATGGTGCGAATTTTTTGACGTACAACAAAATAAAATCAGGCTTGACGATTACAGTTACTTGAATTGAACACTGAATGGATCTAGGTTATGGATTGAGGGTTGGTCTCCATGAGGGCCGATGCGCTGCCAATCGAACTGACGTCCTTGCCTACGTTGGATGTGGACGTTTTCTGTGGGTGCAACATCGGTGCCGGTAGATCGAGCGTCTCGAACTTGGCCAGGGCTCCGCCATCAACAATTTAACATTTTCGCTGGACGGGTTTTTGTTGTTGCAATTTCCAGAAATTGGTGTCAACAAATATAAACGTCACTCGCACTAGCCGCCCGTGGGATCTCCTGATGTCCGTCTGATGCGAGGACGCAGCGTCCGATTGTTTGCGGGGCACAAGCACGTTCCGTTTTTGTCACGGCGAGACAGAAGGGGGCTTTGACGAGCACAGCAAGGGCCCTCTTTTTTGGAACGTGGTTTTCGGTTCAGCGCTGCTCCACATTTTGCGGAAAAATTGGCGTGGCGTACCGATTTATCGTTGTTTTTGTTGCATGATTGTGAGCGCAAAAATAACAGCGGCAGAAGTTGATGCGACCACAGCGCTCATCCAAGTGGCTGCCGCTTCGAGTACCGCTGCCAAAGATTGTTAACGTCGCGATGACGCTTGGCCGTAGCCGCATCAGCAGAGTCAAAGTGATCTCCTGCTGCTCAAACGAACATTGAGGCATTGAGGCATTGGTGCTCATCTCCTATTTACAGCGGTGGAAGTTCCACATTCCTATGCCAGGGTGCGCGGATGATGGGCTGAGTCAACCCCTATCCAGGATTTGAAATTGCAACTCGATAATTGTGAGCCAGCTGCCTCCTAGGACGGGTCGCGTTAGGTATCAACACTTGGCATGTCGATGGGGGGCACGGGGGGCTGGCTGCAGTGCAGTGGTTAGCGCATCGCACTATGAACCTGACAAACTGGGTTTGATGACTAACTGTGGCTAAATTCGGTGGCGAGAGGTATTTTAAACCAATTCTGCATCACCCCCCTCCGCCCCACCCCCTTGGCTTCACCAACCCACACTGTTTAGCGTGGTTAAGTAAGTATGGTCTTGCAATCTCATTAATTGACATGGCGTAGGGGGATATCTTCATGCAGCAGTGTATTGACGAAGGATTGTAGTATCAACAAAGCTTTGTTGATATCTGAAGCACTCTTTATTGATATGATATTGTGACAGTTTTCATCATTTTGCAAAAAACCATGAGAGTACTTGACAAAGCAATAGCGAACCTGTGGATGTATTCCTCGATCGATTATATGAACTTGCAATGCACGCTCTTGGCAGAAGCACGCTCGATAGTACGCCTTGCTGCCGGGATGTTACCGTTGCACAAAGGTCAACAATTATGCTTCTTGAAATCTTCAAGAAAATGCATTGAATTTGACATAAAACAAATGCCACAGTCACACGATGAGAGGTCTAGTTTGTATTTGAGCGAAAAGTCAATTTCCTAAATCATCCGTGGCGTCGACATTTTATTTCCTGCACCATTTGTCTGCACACCAGTTAGGGTCGGTTAGTATTCTTTGCCAATAAAGGCTTATGTCTACAGCTTACTGGGCAATGCAAGACCACGTGACTTGGCGATAACATCACAGGAATAGGCAACGCATGTTGCAATAAGCAGAGCGCCGGCCAAGGCGTGGCATCAGTGCTATTTTACAACGGGTATTGTGTCATTAATCATGTGATTGTAAGTAACATTACTGGCCCCCTTTCTTCATCTGCCAGTGCATTGACAAAGGGTTGTAAAGTATTTATTTTGCATTGCATTTACCCATGAAAAGCCTCATTGAGTGCCGGTAGAGAACAACAATGGATTTTGCCGCCTTGCTCTCTACTAATAACATCGCTCCGCAGCAGCCAATAGCAACCTGTTTGTGCACGGTGGTCTCCCGTTTGCCCATCCATCCAAGCGTGAGCCAGGCTCAAAAGTCCTGCTTAGCTTCGGAGATAATTTGCACCTGCAGATATGTCGGGTGCGAGATGTGTCAACTACCTCGCCTAGTATACAGGAGGTCATAGGTTCAATCCCAACCTTGACGGCTGTATAATTTGGAGTTCTTATGTTTCTCTTCCCGTGGTTGCATGGAATTTTCTCCGGGTCCTCTGGTTTTTTCCCTGCACATTTAGAAACACGCGTTTAGAGTATTTGACTGCTATACATGTCCACGTGATAAGCGACTTCTTTGGGCTTTCATTTGTGGACAGGTCGCTTCTGAAAAAGAGCGACATAGCTCAATGGGCCTTACCTGGTAAAATAAACAATAGTTTACGTAGTTTAGTTTTCCTACGCAGTGCTCCGTTTTTATGCATTCTCGGCTGCTCATCTTGAATTGATGAACTGTTAAAGTTTCCTTTTTTTATATATATATACGTGCATAAAGTGAATTTTAACCGCGTTCAGTTTCCATAAATAGCGAATTTGTGGAGCAGGGGCTTCTGGGGAGTTGTGCTTTTTTTGTCACATTGTACTTCAAGACTGAGACTGCTTTTTTCCCACCTGACACGACCGGATGGTGGAGGGATTTCTAGTAAAAGAACCCATCAGGCTCGGCGTATTGGTGGTGTAACTGTGACGCAGATTGAATCGCCGGAGAGATGCTCGGATGAATCAACATCCATCGGCGGAGAGAGCGGAGCGTAATTAATCTCGCCGCCTCGCCTCGTTTCGCTGCCATTAGCAAACTTTCTTTTTTTTTAAGCACCTTGCCTCTGGGGATAAAATTAGCACAGCCGTTACAGCCTCGTTAACGTGTTGCTTAGAAGAGTGTGTGGGTTTTTAAAAAATAAATATACATATTAAAAAAATATGCAGGGCCTACCTTGGCTCCTCCCACCCTCAACCAGTATATATACAAATACTGTTTTCTTGGTATTTGTCTCACTTGATACAGCTATCGTGCTGTGACGGTTCCACCTGAAGACGGAAGCTAGTGTTGCATCCGAAACGTCGTGATTTTTATTTTTTTATTTTATTTTTATTTTACTTTAATTATTTTAAATTTTTTACCTACGTGACTTTACCGAAAAAACCTAAGAATATGAATCCTTGCAGTCACGAAAGCTTCAAATCTAGAGTTACCGTGCTTGTTTTTTACTTGCGTGTTTTTTTTGTGAAACCTCCACAAGCAAATTTGACCGTTTATAGACAAACCTATTTATTATCTGTGTCGATTTGGGTATGGAATTGACCAAACATCCCAGTGCAGGACCTTCTTTAGAGGAGACGTTTAGCACTCATTGCGGGCGGGGGGGGTCTTGGGGTTGTATCGCACACCCACGTGGACAGCAAAGCTGTGAGGATGAGGCCCTTGCCACGTCCTGCGCTTCACGTTTGGTTATTTGACCAGAGGTCACCACACCGCTAAGTGTGGATTTGGTGGAGGCGTGGAGCGTATACGTGGGAGCATAGAAGTACTGTACAGCAATGGATTTCGCGACACCGTAAAAAGGACGCTTATTTATTTTGAACTAGGTACTGTAATGTATTCTATGTAGAGTATGGATGTGTGTGTGTGTATGTGGGGAGCGGTAGTGCGGCGGTTAGCGTGCTGCTCGAGTCTCCAGGTTCGATTCCCGCTCATAGCCACTACCAGTGACGATTATCTGAACCGGTCCTGGGCCTCTCCTAGGTCGACGCAGCCTCAAATGAGTACCTGGTGCGATGTGTAAAAACATCGCCACTGGGGAGACAAAGGCGGTCGGGCGTGGTGCTGGCCACCCACCCCCTCGTGTGCCGTGCCGGTCTTTATAGGTGCTCGCTAAGAACACTTGCCCCTACAGTCTGTTAAGGCTATACGGGGGATTTTTGTTTTTATATGTGCACTTGAAATATATAAACTTGTAGCAGTTTGTTAATCTGCTACTAAATAAAGCCCTCCCAACGCCATTCCGCTCATGGGGTTTGCGTGACTGTCCTTTGTATAAATACACACACACTATGTTCTTGTGTTGTATCTAGATCGTAATTGTCTCAGATTTTGACGTCTTGATATTTTTAGGCGCCACGTGTAAGAGGGGGGAGGATGCCGCCTTTTGTGACAACTTGTGCTGCACCCACCACGGCTCCATTTGTCCTCACACGTGTGTTGTTCTTCTTCTTGGTTCTTTCGGTAAAGTCACGTAGAATGCTTGCGTTGTGGCCGAAACGTCGTGAGAATTATTTTATTACGTTTTTATTTTTTTATTATTATTTTATTTCCATTCTACTTGACTTTACCGACAGAACCAAGAAGATGAATCCCTGCAGTCACGAAAGCTTCAAATCGAAATTTACGTATGTTGTTTTTCATCTCGATTCGAAGCTTTCGTGACTGCAGGGATTCATACCCTCTGGTTCTTTCGGTAAAGTCACGTGGGTAGAATTTTTTTTCATAAAAGAACACGACGTTTCGGTCGCAACACAAGCGTCCGTCATCAGGTGAGGTGTGTTGTTTCTCTCCGTGCCTTGCTTATGTTGACATGATTTCCCTCACGGGGCATCTTGAGGTGCACTTGAGTCTGGATGCTTTGCACGATTAAAAAAAGCGCACGACTTCTCTCCCCATCTCCCTTGTGGTGGTTGTTGTCGGCCAGGCGCTTGAACAGGAACCGCCTCCCTCTCCTCCCCGAGCTGCTCTTCCTGGGGACGCCGAAACTCGCCCGACTGTGAGTACAGCCGCCTTTATTCTTTCTCAACTCCCATTAGCACGGTTCACTACGTACGGCGCGAGAGAAGTTCAGCACGCGTACACGCACACACACCACCGCCATCGAGCGTCAGAGAGTGTGCAGGCAGTGCAACTGCGCCGTAGGTGCCTACAGGTCAAGAGGGGCCCAGGCACTGGGCTATGAAGAGGTATCGAGCGGAGGGGGGGGGGAGTATGATGCTCAAAACACCGCCCCCCCCATTTCATTCCTCATACCACCAGGGCCCAATGCCAACCCACGCTGCGACACTGCATTCAACACGGGGTGCGTCGGAGGTCACGTCCGTGACCAACTCCACGTCTGTCATCTGTTGAGCATCGCGCGCGGCATGCACAACGCCTCCTACGTGTCTCTCTCGAATTGCGCGCCAACCTCCGCCACGATGTCTCGTGGCGGACGCAAGCGTCGCGCCGTTTTAGCGCTCGCCGACCCAACGCGTTGGCAGCGACACCGCACCCGTGCCACCCCCCCCTCCTCCCCCCGCGCTCTTCAACTCGTGCCACCTCTCTGCCAAGCGCGCCCGCGGATTTACCGTCACGTCGCTCACGCCCGCCCGCCCGCCCGTCCGTCCGTGCGCACCTTCGCGCTCGTGAGGCTGGCGCAGTTTGCGTAGCGGAGCTCCAACTCCCTGCGGGATTCTCCATTGAAACTGTATTCCTGCCTCCGGGAGTCGGAAGTCTATTAAATCGGATTTAAAGGCGGCGGCGGCGGCGGTGGTGGTGGTGGCGGCTGGTTCGTGCAGGGAAGGAGGGCCCTCTCACCGGGCGAATCGTCTTGGCGAGGATTAAGAGCGAGGTGGTCGCCGGAGGGGGGTGATGGTCTGCGGCCTCAAACGATGCCATGCGGCAAGTTAACGCTTCCAATAGATCTGCGGGTAACTTGAAGGGTATTTTTAGCTTATCGGGCCGTTGGGCTGTTTGCTCACCAATCCATCTCCCGCTATCTGATAGGCCCATCTCGAGCCAAAGAGGCCATTGGACAGGCTTGGCAAACATGCAACCCAATGCCAATGCTGATAAGAAGTGCCAGGTGATGCAGATAAGATTTGGGGTAGGGGTGTGGGTGGAATGCACTTGTGGCAGCTGATTTTGGAAATATAAATAAACGAGAAAATAAAGTGTCAAAAAAAGAGAGAACGTGCTAAAAAGAATTGGACCCGCACATTGATTAAAAACAAAAACATCGCCGCTACGCTTAGATTATTCGCATACATTTTTAACGCGATCTATTAATAAATCATTGAGGGAATGGTGTGGTGGTGGTGGTGTGAAACAAATTCATTACCATTATAAAAGGGCATCTGGTATGGGAGGATTTCAAATTAGCGAGGGAGAAAAAAATAATCTGCCGCGTGAACAATAATTACGTGAAGCAGTGCGCCGGAATAAGTGCGGTTTGCTTTTTTTGTGTTCGTGCATGTGCAGGCCCGGTGCACGTGCGTGCCCATTAAAAACCCTCGCACGTGCAGCGGCGCGCGCGCACACACGCACGGTCATTCGCGTTCTCTCCCCTCCCGAGATTACAGTTCAGCGATGAGGTCATCGGACGTCTCGCTGTCTCGCTGGGCGCATCTCAAATATCGATGACTCTCGCGCATTTCCCACGAGCCTTGTGGCCCCTTCCCTTCCGAAGCTGCCGTCTCGCGCGCGTGCCGCGACCTCTCTCCTGAGAGCGCGGCCACCGCCACTGCCACCGCCACTCTCTCTCTCCCCCCCCCCGCCCCGGTCCCAGAGTTGGCCATCATCGCAAGTAGCGCCGCCATGACGACGACGACGATGATGATGATGAGACACAGCCTCATTAACCTCTCCGTGGGAAATTGCTTGGGGGCAGGTGCTGCTCTGACCTCCCGGAAGCTCCCTCGCGTAGTCATCCCAGGTGGGGGGGGGGCATCTCAGGGCGAAGGCGCATCTGTGCAAATGTATAGATTTTTGCACGCAGGATGGAACACTACATTTTTTTCCCTTAATTTAACCTTAACGTGTCAAGCTCTGTTCTGTTGGGAGATGTGTGTATTTTTTGCACGTGTGGGTGTAAGTGTGAATTTGTGTGCTATTATTAGTGGCGACTATTTGAACCGGTCCTGGGCTTCCCACGAATTTGACTCAGCCTTAAATGAGTAATTGGTGCGGTGTGTACCCAACAGTGTTGGGGAGATAAAGGTGGCCAGGTGTGTTGCTCGTGGTCTCGTATATACATTTTGCTTAACCAGTTAGCCCACGCATTAGCATATTGTTGGAATACATTTTTGTAAACAATCAATTCTCAATCGATGATCCTATGCATGCATTGTGAGCATAAGAACCTATTTTATCCAATGAATCAATGCTTCGTTACACTCCTCGTAATCGGCAATAATCATCATCAGCCATGGTTAATCCACTGCTGGATGAAGGCCACCCCAAGCCATCGCCATCCCCCAGGGTCTTACAATCAAAACCCACCCAACACCTGCACATCATAAACTTTCAACTTATTTTTTTTTATTTTACCAGGTAAGGCCCATTGTGCTCTACAGCTCTTTTTCAGAAGCGACCTGGCCAACAGTGGTAGCTCAACGAAGTGGCATAACGTGCGGGAAATTATAGCAGCCAAAAACTGGAGGACCCGGAGAAAAATCCACACAACCACGGGAAGAACATGCAAACTCCAAATACACAGGCGTCAGAGTCCAGATGAAACCCACGACCTCCTTCATACCAGGCGAGGGAGAGAACATCTCGCCACCGCGGCGTTTCCGCCACCAGCTTCCGCTCCGTTGTTAGTCCTGGCCACGGTAATTGGCGAAACGCGTGCGAAATATCCGTTTAAGCGAGCGGGCGCGTGACGGTACGTACCTGCGCAAGTCACTTTGTTTTTATAACGGTGACACAACTCCCACGATTATTTGTCAAAGAGAGAGTGTGGGGGGGGGGGGGAGGTCTTAACAAACAGGCCTTGAGTTGCCCATAATTGGAGGGGGGGCAGGCTAGGGCGATCGGGCGTCCGGGGCGCTCGCGAAGAGAAGAGGAGGAGGAGGTGGCATCGTTATTTCGCGCTCGCGACAAAAGCTCGGCATGGGTGCCACGGCTCGTTCTCCCGCAACGGGGAGGGGAGGGCCCGCCGCCTGCCCGCTGCTGTGCGCCGCCGCCGCGCTGTGCCGGGCCTGACGTGCCGATTAGGGGCCCCGCTCGCCGCCTGAGCGGCTTGTAACGAGACGTGAAACTGACAGCCGCTTCGATGTACTGGCATTTGTATCCCTATCGGATGTCGCTCTCTCTGCTTGAGTTGCCACCCACCCCCCCTCCCACTCCACACACTCGTTCACCACACCGACCCTGCCAACCCACGTTCCTCCCGTTCACACTTTGCCAAATTACTATTCCTGGGGACATGGACATGCTCACATGAATATATACACATGCTTGAAAGGAGAGGCGCTTACCCTATATTTACCTGAGCGCTATGTTTGAGGCTGACTTTTGCGCAGAACGCCACATATATATGTATCTATTCGGTGTCTGGGGCACATAGTTGTTATATGCTGATGTATTATCATCATCATCATAGGCCACGATTAATCCGCTGCTAGGTAAAGAGCCTTTCGCCAAGTCGTCGCCATCTCTTGCAGTCGAGTGGCGTAAAAGGTTCAACAAATGTCCCCCCCCCCCGCCCCCGATGTGGTTGTAACGATGTGAAAGTAAAAGTGTCCAACTCAACTTCTTCTTGGTTGAAGCTGTGGACGAGACGAGACGGCCTCACCAGGTTTTACAGTTCTCCGTGTTTTGAACGACGCGGGTATAAATTCTCTCGCGGGTGATCGAGTTGCCGCCGTCAACTGAGATGTGGAGCACGGGGGGACGGCGACAACCGCCGGGAAGAGTATCACAGGTCATAGGGGGGGGGGGGTGGTGGTTGGCGAGGGGGTTGAGTGGGGGGGGGGCTATGTCCGGTGACATTTGTGGAAGTAGCTAACGAGAGTGTGACGGCCGCCGATCTAATTTCGATCCGTGCTTCTTCCAGCGCTGAGATTCAAGCGCGGCTTGAGCAGATCCGCGTGCTTGGTTTTCGCCCCTAAATTAAAGGGGACGATGCCGCCGCTGCTGCTGCTGCTGCCGCTGTAGCCATGGGTCATTTTATAGCAGTTGGCTGCCATTTGGAACACATGGGGGCCCTCTAAAAGTGTCACGCTTTGGTGGCTGCCTTTCGCTTTGCGCAGGCGTGCATGCACAAGGGGTGTGTGAGCGGTAACGGAACGAGCGTGCTCTGGGAGTATTTGTGGAGGTGCCCATTGCCCGGGCTTGCTCACGGACCTGCACGCGCATGTCGCTCGAGCTGTGTGTGCGTGTGTGTGCGTGTGTGCGCGTGTGTGTGTGTGCGTGTGCGTGTGTGCGCGCGCGCGTGTGTGTACGTGTGTAGTGGTTAACGCGCTGCCCTACGAACCCGGCGACTCAAATTCGATTCCCGCTTGCGGCCAACACCAGCGACGATTTGTTTAACTGGTCCTAGGCCACCCCTAGGTCGACTCAGCCTCAAATGAGTACCTGGAGTGATGTGTAAACATCGCTACTAGGGGACAAAGGGAGCCGGACATGGTCTTGGCCGTCCACTCGCTCGTGTGCCGTGCCGGCCTTCGTAGGTGCTCGCTAACAGCACTTGCCCCGACGGTATGTTAAGGCTATACGGGAGAATCTTTGTCTTTGTGCACGCATTTTTTCGGTGGCGATGGCACAGCGATTAGCACACAACGTTAAGGTCTTGGAGGCCTGGGTTCAATTGCTGTCCATCGCATTGCATCATTAACAAACTACACCTGTCCTAGGCCTACCCCGAGGTCAACTTTAGGCTCATCACGAGTCCCTGAAACATTGTGTAAACAACAGCACTGGGAAGACAAATGTGACGTGGTATGGTACCTTGGCAACCCGGAATGTATATCCACACTTGGCGCGCCACATCGACTATTACCTCCCGCTCTG